ACTGGGCCACCGAGGCTCTTCATTCTCATAGCTGGCAGAAGCTGCATGGATGAGGCCACCCCATTTTGCCCTCCTTCTGTTCCCATCTCCACTCCCTCTATTCCTTCAGTCAGAGGGGAAGCCTTTATAAACATCAAAGGATCTACTGGAGAGAGAAACTGAATAAATGCCTGGAGGGTGGAGGATCCTTCAAAAGACGTGGGAATCCCCAAAGGATCCAGGAGGAAGGAAAGATATTTCAGTGCCCAGAATGTGAAAAATCCTTCAAAAAGAAACAGAAATCTGGAATGCCATCTAAGGATCCATTCAGGAGAGAAACCATATGAAAGTCCAGGATGTGAAAAATCCTTCGAAACAAATAAGACATTTTGAAAACCACCTAAAAAACCACTCAGTTGGAAACCCATATGAATGTTTTGAGTGTGGAAAGAACTTCAATCAGAGAGGAGATCTTGATCAACATCAGAGAATCCACACAGGAGAAAAACCTTATAAATGCTTTGAGTGTGGAAAGAGCTTCAGTCATAGGAACAGCCTTTATGTACATCTAAGAATCCACTCAGGAGAGAAACTATAAATGCCTGGAGTGTGGAAAGTGATTTACTGATGGTGGAAACCTTTATAAGCATCAAAGTATTCACACGGGAGAAAAACGCTATAAATGCCTCAAGTTTGGAAAGAGTTTTACTATACCTGGACGCCTTTATGACCATCAAAGGATTCACACTGGAGAGAAACCCTATACATGCATGGAATGTGAAAGCAGCTTCATTAGTAAAACAGCCCTGTATAGCCATCAAAGGATGCACACGGGAAAAACCATATAAATGCCTGCATTGTGGAAAGAGCTTCAGTCAGACAAGACACCTTAATGCACATCAAAGAGTCCACATAGGAGAGAAACGCCTGAAGTGTGGAAAGAGCTTAAGTGAGAGGAGAACAGACACAAGACTCAGGAATCCCCAAGGAAGGAAGAAATATCAATGCACAGAATGTGAAAAATCTTTCAATACAAAGAAAGATCATGAAACCCATCTAAGAATCCACACAGGAGATAAACCATTTAAATGTCTGGAGTGTGGAAGGAACTTCAGTCATAGGAGCACCCTTTGTTTACATCAAAGCATTTACACAGGAGAAAAACCACATGAATGCTTGGACTGTGGAAAGAGCTTCAATCGGATAGGAAACCTTTACATACATCGAAGAATCCACACTGGAGAGAAACCAGTGTGTGTGGAATGTCTGGAATGTGATAAACGCTTCAATCAGAGAGGAAACCTTTACATACATCAAAGACTCCACTCAGGAGAGAAACCCTATAAATGCCTGGAATGTGGAAAAGCTTTCAACAGGGAGCTCTGTATGAACATCAAATGGTTCATACAGGAGAAAAATCACATAAATGTCTGTACTGTGGGGAAAGTTTCAGTTCAAAGCAGCAGCTTTATTCACATCAAGGAATCCACACAAAGAAAACCATATAAATACCTTGAGTGTGGAAAGAGCTTTACCGACGGTGGACACCATTGACATCAAAGGATTTTTGGGGGGGAAATGCTAAATATGCCCGAGTATGGAAAGACCATCAGTCAGATACAGCAGGACCTGACACTAGGACTAATTTGACCTTCATTGTTCCAAGTGTGAAAGTGCTCCTCCCTGTCATTGTTTGATTATAATCTATATGGGTTTTCCAAATGTCATATAAGACCATCCCCAGACACCTGAAACTCATCAGTTGGATTCTCCCAACTGTCCCCTTGACTTCCGGCAGTAATAGCTAAGCCCAATGAAGCTTTGTGAGATACTAGCCATATTCTCAGCATATAGGAGAAGTACATCTGGGCCCAGGGATTGAGGCAGGTGTAAGTAGGAGATGCTCCTTAAAGAAGGTGGAGGTCAAAATACAGCCCTACAATACTTTTCTGAAGAGGATAGTTAGCACATCTCATACAATTGCTGAATGAGAAAAACTATATTGTATTTTCCAAGTTCCTCATAATTGTTTCTCTTAAAATGGAATCAAATGTGGATTTAAAATCAACCAAGACTACATGCAGTAATTTTGTCCATGCTATTTTAATTTTATTTAGGTGGTTAGTCATAAATCAAAGTCTACAACCAGTACATCGTGCAAGAATAAATTGTGGATGCCATTTAGTTGGGTCAATTTCAACTAGTTTAACAGTAAACTCAGATTATTTGATAAAAAGGTACCTTTACTTTTTGCTGCAACAGGTGGACTCGATCATTCACTTTGTGAAACTTGTGAAATAGTATTTAAAGGCCTCAAACTGAGCCCAGTATTATTTGTGGTGATTGACTGGAACAGGTGGAACAATTCTTGGTCTCTGTTTTGTGGCCAGAATCTATTTTTATGAGAGGGCAGTTTCTGGTTCCATATTCTCCTTCAGGAAGGGTTTCAGCTGGAACCAGGATTGGCCCAGAGACGGGGGACCTGGTAGGCCAGCTTGGAAGTAATGAAGGCTGGACCTATGACTATCACTAAGGGTTGTATCTTATGACTCTTGATGAATGTATTTTTATGTACTTGATAAATGTATTATTTACACGGACAGCGTATGCCCCAGACAAATTCCTTGTGTGTCCAATCACACTTGGCCTATTCTATTCTTAGGACATCTGAATGTGGGTGTTAGATCCTATGGAGAGAGTAGTGTTGTGTGAATCGAATCAAAATTTACGGGGCTGGCCAGGACATCTCAAGTTATAGAGCATCTTGGCCAGACTACCTGGGCAGGTTGTTGTGAGGCTGTAATTGGGTGAGAACCAGTGCCCCACCTCCTTGGCAGGAAGGCAGGCTAGGAGTGGCACTCCAAGGAAAAGCTGTGAGGCTGAGCATCTCTGGGCTGTTGGACTCCTGCCCTTTGCAGCCCCCTTCCTGTCTGTGGTGGAGTTGCTCCCCTGATCTACTTCCATCTCGAGAACCCAGAAGGCTTTGGCAGCTCCCAGAGTAAAGATGGCAGTTGGGTACTTCAGATCACTCCTGTGACCCCGCTGGGCGTTCCTTGGCAGGTATGGGCCCAAAAAGTGTGGGTGGCCAGGTGGCTGATGCAGGGTGAATAGCTTCATAGTCCCCGCCTGTGGCTTCCTGGCCATGTATAGTTTTGTTTGCCTAAAGTCACTTGCATAAGCTGTATTATATGCCTAGGCACAAAAGAAATTTTCAGTGCCAGAGGGAATGCTGTTCTTCAATTGTCACTGCCTTCTCTCAAGAGCCAGGTGAGAGCCTTACTTGGTGTGTTCCGGCCCCCTGCGTTCACTCCCAGGCCCTGGAGAGCAGATTCTCTGAGGTCCTAGGTCCAATGGTTGCCTGCTGTATCAGCCTCCCTGCCTGAGCTGGGTTGGCAGTGGAATTCCCCAGGCTAATGGTCCTGGGCGGCTTCCGTTTGCCATCCCTGCCTTCAGAAGCAATCGGAGAGATCATGGCAGCCCTGACTCAGAACACTGGTCGTCACACACTGGTTTGATCTTAATGAGATCAATGGCAACGTGATGTGGCGGGGAATCTGTTGTTCTCCCTTGTCAAAGTCAGATCATGATTTGGCACCTGTGAGATTCTCTTATGCCATTCTTCCCCCCTCTACAGAGGCTGGACCCATTGGAACGCTCCTCCTCCAGTGACTGATGGACCCAATGAGTTACAGAGGGAGCTGGGAAAATCCGGGTGGGTGGGTGGGTGAGGGCTTATTGTATCGTCCTGTCAAAAATCTCATTATCTCCTGGAACTAAAGGGCAGCCAAGTCTTTGGACAGGACCGTTCCTAAATGGCTTCTCTTGACGCATTGTTCCCAACACCGTTATTGTGTCCACAGAGGGTTGCCCCATAGACCTGTGGATGGGTCCCAAGATACTTGCTGAGGTGGGTTCAAAGGCCGCCATTTCCCCTCCATGGAGACCTTGGGGTGAGGCTGCTCCCAAGGGAAAACCCAGCAGCCAAGGAGGAAACTTCCTGCAATGTCACCATGCAGACTGTAGCCTCTTGTAGTCGCTTCCTTAATGCCCCATGCAAGAATATAAATCACATGATTTTGGCTGTCTTCACCTCGCCCCTTTGTTCCCCCAGAAATACATGAAAGTCACCATATCTGAAGGAGGAGAATGGAATTCATGATTTCAAGTGTGGGGAATGTATGTATGCATTGCATTTATACAAGCAGAAGCTTCAATAAGAGCAGAAAAAGAGCCCCCAAAGGTGTCTGGGACACCATCAGGCCTCCTGGAGACGCTCCCTCCTCTCCCAGGGTTGTTTGTCCCAAAGGCGCTTTTCTTTCAAGGGACAGCTGGACTTTTTGGGAGGCGTTTCGCTCCTCATCCCAGAAGCTTCCTCACTTCCGACTGGAGGTGTCAGAGGCCGAGGGGCCCACATTTCAAGAAGGGGGGGGTCCTGGCGCGATCCCCCCGTCAGATTTGCAAAGGGGGCGAGGGAGCTGGATGTGTGGGGGGGGAGCTCGCTGCCTGGAGGCCACGGAGGAGCCTGGCCGGAGCCCCCCAGGAGGAAGCGGAGCCCCTTCAGCTCCGCCTGCCTGGATGCCCCCCCCCCCCCCCTGCCTAGGGGGAGACCCCGGAGAGGAGGGAGGGGGAAAGCCGCAGCCCCAGAAGGGCCCCTCGAGCTCCGCCAGACCGGATGCGGAAGAGGGGAGAAGACCGGACCCCAAAATCAAAGGGAGCCCCCCACCTCAACTCCGCGCGAGACCAGGGAAACCCTCGGCAAAGCGCAGGCGCGCTCTGGCTCACTGCAATAAGTCGGACGCCGATTGGCCGCTCTGGGGAGGGCGGCGATTGGCAGGAGGACCCGTTGAGGCGGTCCCTACACGCTAAAGTGGAGGAGCTTCTGGAGAAAAGTTCCGGAAACAAAAGGGGAACCAGCGAGCTTCCCAAATCGGCGATAGAAGAGCCCGGATGTAGGTAGAAGGAAGAGGCGGAGCTTGGCCGGAAAGGGAGGAAGGCCGCTCTGGCCCTTACTTTCCGGAATCAGGCGAACTTACGCCCACGGCCGAGTGCAGGTAGGGCGCAGGGGATGCTGGGAGTCTCAGTCTGGGAGGGTCTCTTTCGGGTCCGCAGGAGGTAAAGGCTTCGGCCTGCGCCTCTCCTATGGGGAAGGGGACGTCGCTGTGACCCGCCTCTCTTTCTCCCCTGCAGGAGGACGGAGGAGCCCGGCGGGGGAAGTAAGGAGGCACCGCCCGAGAGGAGGAGGAGAGCGGGCCCGCGGAGCAGCCCTGACCGGTCCCGGCGCAGCTTCCCCGGGAGACGGCGGGGAAAGGCCGGAAGGCTCCGGGGCTGATGAGCCCAGGGGAACCCCGGGAAAGTGGACTGCCCAGAGGGCGATGCGCGAAGAAGGAAACGGGCGGAGTGTCCTTCGGAATCCCCGGGAATCCGCAGAGGATTCAGGAGGGAGAAGAGGAATATCAATGCCCGGAATGTGAAGAATCCTTCAAAAGAATTGACTATATTGAAACCCATCTAAGGACCCACTCGGGAGAGAAACCTTATACATGCCCAGAGTGTGGAAAGAGCTTCAGTCAGAGGGGAAACCTTTCTAGACATCAAAGGATCCATTCGGGAGAGAAACTTTATAAATGCTGGGAGGTTGGAGAGTCCTTCGGAAGATCCGGGAATCCCCAAATGATCCAGATGAGAGGAAAGGAATATCAGTGCCCAGAATGTGAAAAATCTTTCAACAGAAACAACAATCTTCAAAGGCATCTAAGAATCCACTCATTTGGAAAGCCATTTCAATGCTTTGAGTGTGGAAAGAATTTCAATCTGACAAGAGAGTTTATGGAACATCAAAGGATCCACACAGGAGAAAAACCTCATAAATGCTTGGAGTGTGGAAAGAGCTTCAGATATAGCAGCAGCCTTTATACACATCAAACAATCCACACAGGAGAAAAACCACACAAGTGCTTGGAATGTGGAAAGAGCTTCAGTCAGAGGAGCAGCCTTTATACACATCAAAGAATCCACACAGGAGAAAAACCTCATAAATGCCTGCAGTGTGGAAAGAGCTTCAGTCAGACCAGCAGCCTTTACAGACATCAAAGGATCCACTCTGCAGAGAAACTGAATAAAAGCCTGGAGGGCAGAGGGTCCTTCAAAAGACCTGGGAATCCCCAGAGGATCCAGGAGGGAGGAAAGAAATATCAGTGCCCGGAGTGCGAAAAATCCTTCAAAACAAATAATGTACTTGAAGACCATCTAAGAATCCACGCAGAAGAGACATCACATAAATGCTTGGATTGTGGAAAGAGCTTCAGGCAAAGTGAACATCTTTATAGACATCAAAGGATCCATTGCGAAGAGAAGCCATACAAATGCCTGAAGTGTGGAAAGAGCTTCAACATGGAGGAAAACCTTTATAGACATGAAAGTATTCATACTGGAGAGAAACTGAATAAGTTCCTCAAGGATGGAAAATCCTTTGGAAGACCTGGGAGTCCTCAAAGGGTCCACAAGAGAGGAAGGAAGCACAAATGCCCAAAATGTGAAAAATCCTTCAAAAAATATGGAGATCTTCAAAGGCATATAACAGTCCACACAGGAGTAAGGAAATATCAGTGCCCCGAATGTGAAAAATCTTTCAAAAGAAGTGACCATCTTCAAAGCCATCTAAGGATCCACACGGGAGAGAAACTGAATAAATGTCTGGAGTGTGGAATGAGCTTCAGTCATAGGAGCAGCCTTTATAGACATCAAAGGATCCATTTGGAGGAGAAAGCAAATAAATGCCTGGAGGGCGGCGAGACCATCAGAAGACTCTGGAATCCCCAAAGGATCCAAGAGAGAGAGAAGAAATATCAATGCCCAGAATGTGAAAAATCCTTCAAAACAAATAAAGAACTGCAAAGGCATATAACAGTCCACACAGGAGAAAGGAAATATCAATGCTGGGAATGTAAAAAATCCTTCAAAAGAAGTGACCATCTTCAAAGCCATCTAACAATCCACACAAGACAAAGGAGATATCAATGCCCAGAATGTGAAGAATCCTTCAACAGAAATGAAGATCTTGAAAGGCATCTAAGAATCCACACAGATGGAAACCTACATAAATGCCTGGAATGTGGAAAGAGCTTCAATTGTAAAAGCAACCTTTATACACACCAAAGAATCCACACAGGAGAGAAACCATATAAATGCCTGGAGTGTGGAAAGAACTTCACTCAGGCAGGCAACCTTTATGTACATCAAAGACTCCATTTACAGAAACCATACCAATGTGGGAAATGTGAAAAATGCTTCAAAAATATTCAAATCCTTGAAAAACATCTAAGAATCCATAAGCCATGTATAGACATTGAATGATTCATACTGGAGAAAAACCGTATCAATGCCTGGAGTGTGGAAAGAGCTTCAGTTGGAGAGGAAACCTTTACATGCATCAAAGAATCCATTGAGAAGGAAAAAAAATGTTTTTTTTTAAATTTTATTGTTTTTAAGACAAACATAGACAAACACAACATAAAAACATTGAACCATCTTCCCTATATGTAGAGATGTAATTGCAGGAATGTTCCAATCATGGATGGCAAACCTCAGATAATGTTTCCAAGCAAATACAACTCAGGTAAACAAAGTCACTAATCTAAAGGAGGATTAGAGAGAGGAAGTAAACATATGTTAGACTTTAACTAGAGATAATTAATTGTATGGATTACTGTGCTAAACAGTAACGAAAGTTAAGCAGTAACCAAAGTTAACCAGTGATGGAGGATAACTAAAAATGTGTATAAATGCAAGACTAGACTCCAATAAAGATCATCATGATTCAGTTGTTCATGATGAAACAACTCGACTGCCTCCTCATTACAAGTGGCGCATGAACAGGGACCCTTTTACTTTGTCCGGCAAGGATTTGGTGCACCTTCAACCCTTTGTGGTTTCTTCAACCTTTTGGTTTCTGTAAGTATGGGGTCTTCGCTTTCTGAGGAACAAAGGAAGCATGTAGATCAATTAGGCTATTTGTTGAAGAAAAATAATACTGAGGTACCACAGAGAAATCTCTTAAGGCTGGTCCAGGAGATTGCAGCTCAGTGCTTATGGTACCCAGAAAAGGGGTCTTTAAAATTAACTGATTGGGAATGTATAGGGAAAACATTGCATACTGAACCTCGAGCAAAAATAGAAGTTTTGCATGTGTGGTATTTATGTAGGCATGCAATTTAAAAATTTGGTCACAATGAACTTTCTCTTTTAACACCTCTACCTTCACGTTATACTAATGCTGTCATTTGTTCCCCTTCTTCACCTGAATATATGTCTTCAATTCCCTCAGCTCCTGCAGATACAGGGCAAAAGCCTCCTGACTCTATTGTTCAGTCTTCTTTTCAGAAAATGGTAGAGACTTGTAAAAGGGATGCCTCTGTCTCAGGAACAGAACTTGCAGAATGTCTGTCCAGTACAATATCGTCCTGGTCAGGGGCCACAGCTTGGACTGCAAGTAGCAGAATGGGAGGGTCTGCCTTATCAGATCTTAAGAGTTAAAAAAGGCAGTTACAGACTATGGGATTAGTGGTAATTTTACAAGAGGACTTGTAGAAGGAATAAAAATGGCTATACAATGATCCTTGAAGATTGGAAGCAAATATTTTGCATGATTTTAACATCCATGCAATATGCGGTTTGGGAGAGTGAATATATGAGACATGCTCAAGCTGCTGCTTTAGGAGGGGAAGGAGCATATACAGTTGAGCAGCTATTTGGTTCTGGACCATTTGGTACAATTCCTATTCAAGTTATTCTTCCTCCAGCTACGTTAACTATTGTTTCTGAATGTGCCTTTCGTGCTTTTCTTAAGGTACCCCAAGCTGGAGAACCTAGAGCAAATTTTTCAAACATTCGACAGAATGCCAATGAGCCTTATGCTGACTTTGTTGAGCGTCTGTCCAAAGCAATTAGACAGCAGTTTGATCATCAGGAAGCTGCTGGTGAACTTCTTCGCCAGTTAGCTATTGAAAATGCTAATGCAGATTGTAAAAGAGCTTTTCAGCCATTAAAGGCTACTGCTCATTACACTCTGGCAGATATGCTGCGAGTCTGCCAGGATATTGGATCACAAACTTATAAAATGCATATGTTAGCAGCTGCTATTCAGAAAGGACAGCGACCAATTGGTAACTGTTTTAAGTGTAAGAAGCCTGGCCACTTTCAGAAGGACTGTCATTCTACACCTTCTATGCCTCAGAATTGTCCTTCTAAGAAGTGCCCTATTTGTAAAAAGGGATTTCATTGGGCCAATCAATGTCGGTTTCGGTCGGGAAACTTGCCAATGGGTGTGGCACCCACCCAGAATCCAAAGCGTGCCTTTCCCATCACTCTGACTCCTCCAGCAGTCTCTTTCACTCCTCCCCAGCCACAGCCAGTAGCGCTGGGATCGATTTAATTACTCAAGAGGAAATTGAGTTTAAATTTCCCATGGAAGTTAAAATAGTTCCATCTCAATTTAAAGGTCCTCTTCCTTCGGGATTAGTTGGCTTAATTTTGCCTCGTTCTTCTGCACACAAAAAGGGCTATTTTGTTGTGCCTGTGGTAATAGATTCAGATTACACTGGTATCCTCGTGATTCAGATTTGGGTGAATCTTCCTCAAGTTCTTCCTTGTAATTCTTCTGTTGCTCAATTGCTTCTTCCATATGAAATTCCATCTTCTGGTATAGGTAATCATGGGGATGCAGGATTTGGATCAACTTCTTTATCTGTAGGCTTACTTCATCAGCTGAACTCCTCTCCTTTGTTAACGCTCTTCCTTAATAAACAACCATTTCAAGGGTTATTGGATACTGGAGCCGATGTTACTGTCATCTCCTCTTTACAGTGGCCAGTACAGTGGCCAAAAATGACAGTTTCTTCATTGTGGGGAATAGGAGGTTCTACAGCTGCTTGGCAGAGTGTTCAAGAAATTAATGTTACAACATCTGCTGGTAAGTCCTTTTTCCTACCATACATTCTAGATATTCATACTAATATTTGGGGCTGTGATATCCTTTCTCTTCTTAATGCCCATTTGATTCTTGATGATGGCTCTTCCTCTTAAATGGCTCTGTTCTACGCTGGTTTGGGTGGAACAATGGCCATTATCAAGGGAAAAACTCGCTGCTTTACAACAATTGGTTCAAGAACAATTGGCTGCTGGTCATATAGAACCTTCTACTAGTCCTTGGAATACTCCTGTTTTTGTTATAAAAAAGAAAATGGGAAATGGCGTTTCCTTCATGATTTAAGAGAAATTAATACATGTATCTAACCCATGGGTCCTTTACAATGTGGTCTACCAAATCCTAACTTAATTCCTAATTTTTATAAATTATTGGTAGTTGATCTTAAAGACTGCTTTTTTACTATACCTTTGCAGCCTCAAGACAAAGAAAAATTTGCATTTACTGTCCCAGTTTTTAATAATAGCATGCCCACAAAATGATATCATTGGCGAGTGTTGCCTCAGGGAATGCTTAATTCCCCTACACTTTGTCAATATTTCGTGGATAATGCCCTTCAACCCTTTCGGAATAAATTTCCTTCCTATTTGGTGTATCATTATATGGATGATATATTGATAGCAGCCCCGGATTTTGATGAATCTAAGTTGTTAAAAGAGTTAACGGATATTGTGGCACAACAGGGATTGTATATAGCCTCAGACAAAATTCAAAAGGTAGAACCTTATACCTACTTAGGACATAGAATGTTGCACAATTCCTCCATTCCAATTCTTCCTGAATTACAAGTACAGAAATCATATACATTAGTACAATGGCAAAAATTACTTGGCATTATTAATTGGGCACGCCCATTCTTCTACATTACAACTGGTGATATGTTGCCCTTATTTCAGTCTTTGAAGGGAGCACAATCACCAGTTGTATTAACTGATCTTCAAAGAACATGCCTTCAAGAAATATTGAATAAGTTTAAGCATCGATATGTGGACAGGATAACATTCTTAACAATAGGACTTTGCTTAGCTATTCTTCCCACTACACCCTTACTCATGGGATGTCTTTATTCTAATGCATCCCCGCAAGCGGTCAACATTCATGAATGGATTAATTTGTCAGCTACTCCGCCTAGAAACATTTATCCTTATCAGCATTAGAGGATTTGATTATTAAAGGTCGTAAATGAGCCTTACATCTTACAGGACAGGATCTCATTAGCATAGCTTTCACTCGTACAAAAGTTGAACATGAGCATTTGATGATGATTTCAGAATCATATCAGATAGCCTTTTCTCAATATGTGGGAAACTTGTATTCTTTACCCAAGGATCCTAGAATAGTGGTTACTACTACTTTAAATCCGGCCTTTTCTTCCATTTTTGTGCGAAATCCTATTTCTTAAAGCTCTTACAGTCTTTACTGATGGATCACCTACAAGGGGTGTGGTTGCCTGGCAGATTCAACAACAATGGTATTCTAAATTTACTGCCACGCAGACTTCAGCTCAACGTGCTGAGCTGGCTGCTGTGATTTTGGCTTTATGATTGTTCAATGACCAACCTATTAACTTGATCGTTGATACTCAATATGTGTATTTAGCTATGCAATCTCTTCCCTTTTCTTATTGTGCTTTTTGGATAAGAATTTGTTATCCTTGTTTTTATCTTTAAAGAATAGTTTCTTTAGTGGAATAGTGGAAACTCGCTTGTATTCTTTGTATGTAGAACACATTTGAAGTCATACTCCCTTTACTAATGCCTTGACTGAAGGAAATCGGAAGGCAGATGAATCCTTAAAGGATGTTGCGTCTTTGTTTGCTGATCCTGTTGCTAGTCATTCTTATTTTCATCAAAATGCCAAATTGCTTGCAAAGCAATTTAAAATTTCATTATCTCAAGCCTGGGATATTGTCTGTGCTTGTCCAGCTTGTCAGCAAGTGGCAGTTCCCTTTCCAGTGTGTGTCAACCCACGAGGAACCCAAGCTAATCAAATTTGGCAAATGGATGTAACTCAGTTTTCAACCTTTAAGCCATACTGTTATCTTCATACGTCTATTGAACTCATTCACAGTTGCTTTGGGTTACTGCTTCAAAACATGAACGTACATCAGATGTTATTTCTCATTGCCTATCCTCTTTTGCTGTAATGGGTCGGCCTTCTCAGTTTAAAACTGACAATGGCCTCACTTATATTAGTAAGGAATTTCAAACCTTTTGTCAGAAATGGAATATTACTTTAGTGCACGGAATTCCTTACAACTCTCAGGGTCAAGCTATAGTTGAGCGAGCTCATTGTACTTTTAAGGCATTGCTTCAAAAACAATTACAAACTGAGTCTGGCCCTTACCATCTGCGAAATATTCAAAATCTCATTGCTGTAGCATTATATACTTGGAATTATTTAACC